ACTATAAATGTAAAATTGTGTCCAAAAAAAAATGACAATGTTAACAAAGATGTTCACCTATTTCATTGCCCTTTCCACAATAAATATATGTAAAATGAAGAAAGGAAAATTAAAATGTGCAAAGTAGGCCTATTCATCAGAATGCAGGCAAACACATCTATTTTGTGTATGCATGTTCTGGCTTTAAATGCAACACTCAGTTTTATACAAAAGGGTCTCTGCTCGGGTTATGGGATATTGCTCAGTCTTTTTTCAAAAATTAAAACCTGAGGGTAAAATTTCACCTCCGCTTTGGAGAAGTCACACTAATCCTTGGTTGTAAGTCGGCTGTCAAGTTCTCATGTTAACATTCTTTTTGTACATGAAACTCAAAAATAAACCACGTGAAACCAGACTTTTCACATATAAACACTGGGTTAACATGTGGAAGTAATAACTCGTGCACATTATTAATCTTTTCTCCTCTAACATATACCCTTCTTTAATATCTCCTGCTGCATGTGTGAATACTGAATTTCAGGCATTCTGTTTTGAGACGGACCTGATTTCAGTTCGCTCACAAATTATATTTCAGCTGGCTAAAGCATAAAGCTGTTTTCTTTTCCGTGCCAAACGTTCCCATCATTTAAAAGAATGAAGCGATGTGCACTTGTGAGGTATTTGACCATGTGTGAAACAGAAGTGTTCTTTAAGACCTGCCAGGGTAGGGCTGAAATATCTCAGCACATCTGTTGGCTAATCAGAAAGATGTGTCCGTGCGCTGGCCTTTTGGAAAATATTTGTTGAGAAAACGGAGGGCCTCTCCCAGTGGCTGGTTATCACTGAACACGGGAATTTGCACAATTTAGGGCCCCAAATATGAAAATTTTTTTGTTCCATACGTGTATGGCTTTTTTCTGCTGAACACAAAAGATATTTTTAAGAATGTTAGTTTTGGTTCCCATTGACTTCCATTGTCTGGACCAAAAATACAATGGAAGTCAAAGGGAACCGAAACGGTTTGGTTACTAACATTCTTCAGAATATCTTTTGTGTTCCGCAGAAAAATGCCATTTTAAATGGCATCTACTGAGGGAGAAAAAAAAAAATGATTGGCCATCTTTAAAAGACAAAAAAAGTTACATTTTTATTGTTGGTTCCCATTGACTTCCATTGTCTGGACCAAAAATACAATGGAAGTCAAAGGGAACCGAAACGGTTTGGTTACTAACATTCTTCAGAATATCTTTTGTGTTCCGCAGAAAAATGGCATTTTAAATGGCATCTACTGAGGGAGAAAAAAAAAATGATTGTGCCATCTTTAAAAGACAAAAAAAGTTACATTTTTATTGTGTTATCTTTTTTTATTTTAGATGATAAATCAGTAGATACTGTTCAAAATGAAGACAAAAAGTCCTGTGCCACTTTTGGTTGTCAAACATTAGTGGACCATGTTCATCTTAATTTGATAAACTACTCCTGTTGTTAAGTCTGATGGGACACCTCTGTGAACTTGGTGAGAACTGACTTCATAAAAATCACCACAACACCAGTTCATAAACGTCACTGCAAAACTGAGTCCGAAAAGAGAGAAAAGTTTCTGAGAAAAGCTGCAGCAACATTTGAGAAAAGATGACTCTTTGTATCAAATGCAATAATTCAGATTTTTTTAAATGAAGTGTTTTGTGTGTGTGTGTGTGTGTGTGTGTGTGTGTGTGTGAGTGTGCGCGCGCGTGGGGGGTTCACATTTTGTGTTCCGCAGAAAAATGCCATTTTAAATGGCATCTACTGAGGGAGAAAAAAAAAAATGATTGTGCCATCTTTAAAAGACAAAAAAAGTTACATTTTTATTGTATGTTATCTTTTTTTATTTTAGATGATAAATCAGTAGATACTGTTCAAAATGAAGACAAAAAGTCCTGTGCCACTTTTGGTTGTCAAACATTAGTGGACCATGTTCATCTTAATTTGATAAACTACTCCTGTTGTTAAGTCTGATGGGACACCTCTGTGAACTTGGTGAGAACTGACTTCATAAAAATCACCACAACACCAGTTCATAAACGTCACTGCAAAACTGAGTCCAAAAAGAGAGAAAAGTTTCTGAGAAAAGCTGCAGCAACATTTGAGAAAAGATGACTCTTTGTATCAAATGCAATAATTCAGATTTTTTTAAATGAAGTGTTTTGTGTGTGTGTGTGTGTGTGTGTGTGTGTGAGTGTGCGCGCGCGTGGGGGGTTCACAGGGTTTCTGCAGGTTTTTTGAAATTGTAAATTTAAGACATTTAAAGACCTTTTCAAGACCAAGTAAGGAAAAATTAAGTAATAAATTCAATGGAACACAATGTGTCTATTTTCTCTAAATGTACATTTTTCAAAGTTTGAAAATACAACTTCCAATGGATCTCCACTACTTTTTAATACGTTTTACGAGAATAAGAAGCAGAAGAAGCTAATGGATTGAATAACACTGCTCCAAACCACTAGAATATGGAAATAACTTTGACTGTATCTTCTGGTCACACTGCAAAAAGAAGTGTTCAAGTTTCAAGTGAAAATGCCTAAAGATCCTTAAATCAACATGCATTTACTTGAGAAGCAAAATGACAAGTTCTGTATCAAAAATAAGTGAGTTTATGATCAAAACAATAACTAATACCTGCCAAAGGGCTCAGAAAAATCAACTTAATTCAATGGAATTTTCATTTCCCAATAACAGATGTTTGTTCTTGTTTTAAGCATGAACTCATTTCATTTTGTTCAAATTCTCAGACATCTCAAACAAGACATCATACATTCACGTTTGCATCTCAAGTAAACATTTCTTGATTTAAGGATGTTTAGATATTTGCATTGGAAAAAAAAAAAAAAAAGTTTTTTTTTTTTTGCATCATTTATTGCCATGACTATGAATTTAAGACTTTCTGTTGTGATTTAAGACCTTTTTTGGCCTTAATTTAGGGCGAATTAAGACTTTTAAAGATCTTTTTATAAGACCAGCAGAAACCCTGCTTCAATAAATATTTTCAAAACTATTTTATTCCTTTATCCTTTTTCTAAATACATACCCAACACATATAAACCAAGCCTGAACGGTAATTTAAAATATCACAGTTCACAGTCAACAGCAAAGCAACAAGCTATAATGAGACGCCGGCGAGCTGCAAATCGAGCCGACGCTGAGAATATCCTGCGAGCCATTTCAGATGTACAGTACTTAACAGGAAGTGTTCCATTTTTCCCACCTGGGCCCGGGTCACATTCATCAGAAACCCAAGCCGGCGAGACCGTGCCAGCTAAAAACTCCTCCCGACGTCATTAAAGATTAATACGGGTCATAAAAGCTCTGTGGCATCTAAACCTCCGAATGCTTTCAGATTAACCCTGGACTGATCAAACCTTCACATTCAGTGAAAATATTTGGTGTTTGGTAGCCGCGCGGAGGCATTTGGCCTGAAGCTCTTCAAAGATCAGCCAGCGCAGAGGTGGAGGGGAGAGTCACTGGCCGGGGATACTGCGGGACTAGCGTGACGTCTCAATAGAGGGAGGGCCTTCAGAGTCCAATTCAGCCCCAGTACCACGTGTTCAAGGAGCGTGGGAAAGAGGCGAGCTTTTCTTCCCAGCAAAGAAAGAGCTAGTATCGAATAACAGAAGCGCAGAACAGGGCTAGGTAGAGCTCCTACTGCAAGCAGACAAGATTATCTCCGGCAAATGCAAACACGCAGAGCTACGGTTACAGTCAACACTTTGATACTTAGATTCAGGGAGCACACATTTAAAAGAGGACACGGCTCTGTTTGAGCGTGGCTTGACTGAACTTGGAAGGAGGACTGACTGTATGCAGCCCATCCTGTTATGAACTTGCAAAGCGTCCTCAAAAACTTGGAACGAAAATAGCGTCTGGCGTGAATTCAGCAGCGCTGTCTTTGGGGAACCCAAGCATGTTTTTTTTGTAGTTTTGACAGATTTACAAATGGAGATATGACTTAAAGACTAAACATAAACAACGTTTGTTCTGAAAAAAGGAAGTCAAGAAAATAAAACTTTTTTTTTTTTTTGGTTTTTAGAGATAATTGCAAGAGAGATAACGTGCAAAATATTATGATAGATTGGTTTAGAAAAACAAATAAAGAAAAAATGGCTAAATATGTTGCACACAAAAATTGTGGGAATCTGTTCATAAAGTGTTGTTAACCATTTATGGCATTAAGTATATTATTATGTGTAAAACAAAAAAAATTTTTAAATAAAGGAAAAAATGGCTAAAAAGAGTGAAATATCTTGCCATTTTTGGGGGTTAATGTATATTGTGTAAAACAAATTTAGATCTTAAATAAAAAAAAAAAAGTAAAAAATGTGTATAAATCTTGTGCAAAAATTTAATTAAAATGAAAGTCTTGCCATAAACTAATGTAAATCCTGTTTTTAATAACAATTTGTGATTAATCTTCGTAAAGTGTTATTAAAACACTTATGATTAATGAACTATTTTAAGAGATTTGTAAACCTTGTCATTTTTGGGGGTTAATGTATATTGTGTAAAACAAATTTAGATCTTAAATTAAAAAAAAAAAAGTAAAAAATGTGTATAAATCTTGTGCAAAAATTTAATTAAAATGAAAGTCTTGCCATAAACTAATGTAAATCCTGTTTTTAATAACAATTTGTGATTAATCTTCGTAAAGTGTTATTAAAACACTTATGATTAATGAACTATTTTAAGAGATTTGTAAACAATTTATGGCATTAAGTATATTATTATAATGTGTAAAACAAATTCAAATCTTAAAAATGTTTTTTTTTTTTTAAATATACAGTAAAAAATAGCTAAACAAGATTACGTGCAAAAATGAAAATGAAATTAATATCTTGTCATTTTGGGGGGTCAATGTAAACATTTTATGGAATTAAGTATATTATTGTGTAAAACAAACTTAAATCTAAGTTTAAAAAAAAAATTGTTTTTGTGCAAAATAAAATAAAATGAATTCTGTGGGATTAAACCAATGTAAATCCTGTTTTTAATAACAATTTGTGTCCAAACTTTTCATAAAGTGTTGTTAAAACAGTTAACACTTATGATTTACGAACAATTTTAGGAAGTTTGCAAACATTTTATGGCATTAATTACATATTAGTTAAAACCAAAAACAAAACAGAGTAACAAATGTCTAAACAAGATATTGTGCAAAAATGAAAATGAAAGACGCGTGTCATCTTATGGCGTTAGTCCAATATAAATCCTGTTTTTAATAACAATTTATGACTAATCATTTCATACAGTGTTATTAAAACGTTTTTTTTTTTTCAGATTTCAGGAGGGATAGCATCAAGTATATAATTACATTGTGGAAAACAAATGTACACAGGACAATTTTGTTTACAGTGCAAAACACAATGAACCCTTCCCAAAGGTTGCTATGACACAGTGTAGCAAATAAAAACACCTCCATAAAAAAAGAATTAAAAAAAATCAGATGCATGGAGAAAAAAAAAATAAAACCTGGAGTTTCCCTGTCGATCTCAAGCTTTTGTTGCTGCGTCTTCACTGACGTGCAAGAGCTCTTGGAACTGCGACAGCACCCGGTCAAAGTGCGTCCCCTCCCAGAACACCTTTCCACAGCCGGTGCAGATGAAGTACACTGGAATCCGGGGCAGGAGGCCTGGGGGCACGGTCTCCAGCTGAACTTCGGCCCCGCTGGGGAATTTGAAGGTCTGGGGGTCCAGGGCGGTACGTGGGGCCCAGCGGCAGTGAGGGGTGAACTCGGGGCCCTCTGGGGGCCTCCAGCTATTGTATTCAGCTTGTGTTTCGTCCTGCGGCTCGCAGTCGTCCCGCTTAGATACGATGTCTTGAAGGAGACCTTTTAAGAGAAAGAAAAGGCGAATAGAAGCAAGAAGGCAGCTTTATGTTAAATGATGCTGCTGACGAAACCAAGGATTTAGGCAACATACTGTTACAAGTAAACGCTAATTAAAATGAAAATGTAAAAACGGTGGAAAATCTGTACAGTAAATACATTTGAAAATATACATTCAAATACGTGCTGTATTGGCATGGGAAACAATTGGAAAAGAAGTGGCAACCTCTCTCTTTCATCATGCGGGTCATATCCTCTCTGGACAGCTTCAAGTACTCATTACAGTTGCAAGCCTAGAAGAAAGGTGACAGAAAAAACACATTAGTATGTAATAAAACATGACGTGACCAAGTAAATAAATTCAGCAACAAGATGTTAAATCAAGTGTTAGATAATAAAATCTTTTATTATCTATTGATATATAATACAGGCAGTATACACGCATTACTTCTAAATAGCTTTAATACTGTTTATAGCCTACTTAATTACTCTTTTTTTTGTTTGTAATAATTTAGTCATCATCAAAACTTCAAAATAACTACTCATATTGTTGTATTTATGTAAAGTGTATTTATGGTCTTATGTAGCACAGTTATATTTGTAGCAATAACCAAAAATACATTGTATTGGTCAAAATTATCGATTTTTCTTTTATGCCAAAAATATCCTTAATAGGATATTAAGTAAAGATCATGTTCCATGAAGACACTTTGTAAATGTCCTACCGTAAATATATCAAAACTTCATTTTTGATTAGTAATATGCATTGCTAAAGACTTAATTTAGACAGTTTAAAGGCGATTTTCTCAATATTTTGATTTTTTTTGCACCCTCAATAACCTAATTTTCAAATAGTTGTATCTCGGCCAAATATTGTCCTATCCTAACAAACCATACATCAATGGAAAGCTTATTTATTCATCTTTCAGATGATGTATTAATCTCAATTTCGAAAAATTGACCCTTATGACTGGTTTTGTGGTCCAGGGTCACAAATATGGTAAATTTGCTAAATATTCTAATTTTTGACAAGTTCACATAAATGCCACACTTGTTTTTCCTTGACTATATGACCCGATGTATCCATTAACAGCACATACAAATAGCAAAACATATTCATACATATAATAGCGTTCAAATGTTTGGGGTTTTTAAAGGTATGATACCATTACAATTTAAAATAACTGTTTTCCATGTGAATTTGTTCATTCCTCCAGCCTTCAGCGTCACACGATCCTTCAGAAATCATTCTAATATGCTGATTTGCAGCTCAAGAAACATTTATTCATGTTGAAAACAGCTGCTTCATATATTTGTAGAAACTGCCAGATTTGTCCTTTGATGAATGGGAAGAACATTTATTTTAAACAGATTTTTTAAAAACTTTATAAATGTTTTTACCATCATTTTTGATCAAATGAATGTGTCCTTGCAGAATAAAAATATAAATTTCTTTAAAAATAAATCCTACTGAGCCCAAACTTTTGAACTGTACTGTATATATACAGCAGTAATGGTAGGTTGCAAACTAGACTCGTACATATTTCAAATAGTCTAGTAGTTCCCATGCTAAACGCTCTCATACACACACACACACACACACACACTCCAGTGACGCAGGCTAAGTGTGAGGTTAGAAGTTTGCGTCGCCTCTCTTGATTTCACACCTCAGTGTGGCTTCTGTCTCATCCTCAGCGAGGAACCCATTCCCACTCTTTCAGACAACACACAGGCGCTAAAAGCCTCGTCACTGAACTCAGCAACACCAGCCAGACTCACGCGGAACGCAACACTGACAATTCAGTCGGTCAACTCATTACACTGGAATGCTTCTCACACAAACTGAAACTGAAATCAAAAGACTGCTCGGTTTAAAGGAATAGTGACATTTTTGAAAATTTTGTCACATTTACTCACTCATGCTTTCATTACTTCTAAAAGTGTAAATTTGGAAGAAAACAACTTCATAATAGTATATGACTGTCGAGTTCCAACAAGGACCAAAAATATAAGTCTACATAACTCATATGCTATATTCCATATAGGTTTCTGTGTTTACAACTATCATATGACTGAAGAAGCCATGAACACAACTGAAATTTCTCCTTTTAAATATAGAATATGGGTTTGGAACAACATGAAGGTAAATAAATGTTAATAAATATACACTATTGACCAAAATATTTGGAATACTTAAGATTTTTTTTCAATATTTTTGAAAGAAATCTCTTATGCTCACCAAGGCTGCCTTTATTTGGCCACAATTATAGTAAAAACAGTAATATTGTGAAATATTATTATAATTTAAAATAACTGTTTTCTATTTGTATATATTGTAAAATATAATTAATTTCTGTGATCAAAGCTGAATTTTCAGCATCATTACTCCAGTCTTCAGTGTCACATGATCCTTCAGAAATCATTCTGATATGCTGATTTGCTGCTCAAGAAACAAAATATTCAGCAAGGAAACGTTAAATTGATCAAAAGTGACAAAAGTGATGATATGTTACAAAAGATTTCTATTTCAAATAAATGCTGTTCTTTTTAACTGGTGAAAAAAGCACCAGTTCCCACAAAAATATGAAGCAAATGGTCAGTGATAAGAATCATTATTAATAACTGACCACCAATAATAATTCATAATAATATCAGCATATTATTACGATTTCTGAAGGATCATGCGACACTAAAGACTGGAGTAATGATGCTGAAAACTCAGCTTTAATAAATTACATTTCAAACTAAAAAAAATATTTTAAATTGTAATAATATTACACAATATTAGGACTTTTGCAGTATTTCTAATAAAAAAAATGAAGCCTTGATGAACATAAGAGACAAAACATTACAAAAACAACAATAATTCCAAACTTCTTAAAGGGGTCATATGATGCGATTTAAATTTTTCCTTTCTCTTTGGAGTGTTACAAGCTCTTGGTGCATAAAGAAGATCTGTAAAGTTGCAAATTTAGCAACGTCATATGACCCCTTTAACTTTTGATATCTCATAAACATTCAGATTTAATACCGAATCCATTTAGAATTCAGTTTAAACTATACATGATTTTGCATACTCACACACACACACACACACACACACACACACAAACACAAGGTGCTGTGAAAAGGCATGTTGTGTGTGTGTGTGAGGGACAGGCTCACTCTCACGCTCTCTCCATTCCACCTTGAGTGATCTCTTCCCACACACTGCGCAAAACACACCAGCAACTATTTACCCAACTCCTGAGTTTCCCATGCAAAAGCAAGTCAAAACCTGCTCCGCCAACTCTTCACACTCGCACTCTTTCTCCATCTGTGTTTGCCTCCAAAACCACGCGTGCGAGTTTTGCTTCTAACACTGCGAGGCGTGACCAGACCAAACCCTATGGCAAATATGTCATATGTGCTGCTGTTGCGGGTCCAGCTATGATCTTCTCCATGATCGTCAGCCACTAGTGCTTTCCTGCTCACAGTCACATTTCTGTGCAACATACTGTAATTAGGTAGGCATCACTAGTGTATCACTAGTGCATGTGATGCAGATTTTGAGTGGGGTTTTGCACCAGTGGGCAAGCCAGTGACAAAACGTCCCCCAGTCATCGCCGTTTGCCCCTGATTCGGAAAACAACTGATGATTTTATCGCAGCTGGTTAGGTCACGCTTGGGAAACTCTGGAGTGTTTAACGGCCTAACTCGTCCTGCTCCGTTTGTGATGTGGACATGAAAGAACGTGGTCTGGAAAAGGAAATGAATACTTGAAAATCTTGCAAGTTTTTGAGAAGAGATTAAGGCTACACGCATACTTAATAAAACTAAAAATGCAGTGTGACTTAGTGTGATTATCAACTCACAAATGCTGTGATTTCATTAAATAAATATATGCACTGCATGAATCTAACGTTATAATTTGCATGTGGGAATGCAACATGCACCAATCTTTTACCTAAATTGTTGGCTTTATGAAGCTTTAAAGGCCTTTCTGCAGTTTTCCATCAAAATAAAATCTAAATTGTTGAACTCTTTTTAAAGTTAAACTGCCATAAATATTAGTATTGTAATTTTACAGTTGTACTGGAAAATATATATATATTTTTTTTATTTTACAGTGAGATATTACAATAGCATATTGCTTATTTTGTTTCATAATTATTCAATTTATTAATTTAAATAATCATTTTTTATACTTTCATTTAGTAATAATAATAACTACTTTAAGTATTAGTCATACTGATATATAAATCACAAACTATTTTTCATAATCAAAAAGCTCAATGGTTTAACTTCTGAAAATGAAGAAATTAAGATATAAATAATATTGCAATTCTATAGTTGTATTGTGAAAAATTATGTTCTTTTTCAGTGAAATATTAGAATAGTAATATTTCTTTTGTGTAATAATTTAATTTCATATATAATACTTGGATTTAGTAATAGTAATAATTTCTATAATTATAGTCATACTGATATATAAATCACAAAAAAATAGCTCAATAGTTGAACTTTTGAAAGTAAAGAAATTTGAATAAATATTAGTATTGTAATTTTATAGTTTTCTTTTATAGTGCAGTATTACAATAGTAATATTTTTTATTTTGTTTCTGAATTGTATTTTGTGTTTTATTTAATATTTTTATTTAGTACTAATAATAATTACTATAATTAATATAGTCGTACTGATATATAAATCACCAAAATATTTTCACAATCAAAAAGCTCACTGGTTTCAATTTTGAAAATGAAGAATTTAGGACCGGCATAAATATTAATAATGCAATTTTACAGTTTACAAAAAAAAAAGCACACACACAAGTGAAATATTACAATAATAATATTTATTTTGTTTCATAATAATAATAATTAGTATAATTATAGTCATACTGATGTATAAATCACAAAATATTATCATCAAAAAGCTCAATAGTTTAACTTTTGAAAATGAAGAAATTAAGATAAAAATTAAAGATAAATATTAGTACTGTCTACAGTTGTATAGTGAAATAAAATTATTTTCTTTTACAGTGAAATATTAAAATAGTAATATTTGTTTTGTTTTATCATTTAATTTCATATTTAATACTTCTATTTAGTAATAATAACAACAACTGCTATAATTATAGTCATACTGATATATAAATCACAAAAAAATATTTTTATAATCAATTTTTGGGGCCAAATTGTGCAGCTCTACAAACACACGCACAACAAACCTAGAGCTTTTTTTTAGTTTTCCTGGTCAGTGATTAAATGGGGAAATATCCCATAAAACTACATTTTGGAAGGGACACAAGTC